AAAGTCATTTATGCAAAAATGAAGTATTAGGCAAGAGCTTATGATCGAGCGCTATTTATAAATTAACAGAAGAATAAATATCCTACCCTCGAGGCCTTTTGCACACGTAAGGTCGAGGATGTCATCCCCGAAAATATCATTTATATCATACACCAAGGGCTCGAGATTTTCTAACATTTGTCGATCCCTCTCTAGAGTTTCTAAGTAGGCTTATCCCTCACAAAACTTTGCTGTGTCTGGGATATCCCACGAGGGCTATATAGGAAGATCGAGATCTCGAGCTATAACATAGAACCATTTATCCTTCCACCTCTTCAATGAGCTAGGCATCCTCGGGATCCTAAAGACACATCGGGAAGAAAGGTAGGCGAAGCATGTAAACCTATGGAGCTATTTAAGCTCGAAAATCATTCTACATAGGTCGAGATATGGCGTGATACCTAGACATCTATAGGCAATGAAGAAGCAAACGAGCATTCTCTACCCATTGGGCACTAATTGTCCCGGGCACATAGAATGCTTGACCAAAAACCAAACGAAACAGATGCATAGGCCACCTAAACCTAGCCTTTAAAGAGTCCCTAAAAATCACAAACTCACCTTCATGTGCCCTATTCATTCTATCCTCGAGGTCGGGCGCCCTACAATCATTGTAGAGCATGAGCCCATATTCTTTCGCCACCTACATAACTAGGTGTTCTTTAAACCTACATTGGACGTTGGGAAACTTGAGCTCAACAATGTCTGGCTCTCTAGGTTGAACATCTAAAGGAACAACTACGGGTATTAACTGAGCCCTACGGTTCCCAGAGGCACCCAAACTCTCAGATCCCCGATCACTCTCATCACTCTCAGTGCTCGACATCTCTCTTCAATTTAAAACTAAAGAAATAACTTAAAAGTCTAGAGCCTTACCTCGAGAAACCCGACGCCCAAACAACAAAAGCTAAGTTTATAGCTTGAACCCGATCTTGCACTTGAAGATTCACAGAGAGTAAAAAGTAAAAAATGAATAGAATCACGAGGTATTTATAGAACCTTGGGAGAAGACCAAGGGTCACATCAATCTCAGCCTTTGACCCATGCCACATGTCTTCCATCCAGGGACCCCTCATTTTTTACTGAGATAGATCGTCCTCTTGCTATTTCCACACCAACGCTCCCCCAAGAACATTAAAATCTCGACAACATTACTTATCAGTAAATCCAGCTCTATTCATCTTGCACCCTAGCATAACTTCCTCAGTTCGAACCCAGGGTCAGATGCACGGGGTCAATGATACATCGAAATTTTGGTATGCTCGAACACATTATCCCGAGGACTTTCATCAGGATTCCTTTGCAATCCCACCTGTAGTGATCAAGCATATACTCCCCTAGGGTATAATGCTCGAGCACTTCTAGTCTTGCTGCTTCAACATTTTATGATCCATGTCCTCGAGCATGAGTAGTCCTCGGGTATATGTTCTCCTCATAGCCTACGATTGTTATTATTGACTATTTAGAATTCCTATGTAATTGAGACTCTAACTCAACCATATTACCTAATACTTGACTCCCGCAAGGATTCTATCCTAGACATAACTATGGCATTGGTCCAATTCCTTCACCTAATAGGACTCCGTTGGATAGAGATGCCCAACTAGTTGAGTTCCACTAGGAGAAGGTCGCTTACTACTATAAATACAGGACCAAAGATCATTGATCAAGTACATTCTCATTATTCTCTAGTTTATAGCTTTAAGTACATAATTCCTTTCTGACTTAAGCATCGGAGGAGCGACAAGAGCACACCTGATTGCCTTTGTTTCACATACCGGAAGACTACGATCGTGCTCATTCAAAGTCCTCAAGCTCGGGAAATCAAAATGTACGATTTTTGGCAACATCACAAAATATTAAAAGTATACTCTATGATAGCATCAAAATTGGCATTTAGAACTATGCTACACAAAAGGCATTTACGCAGAAGGGATCAGAGCATAAAATCAAGTTTTCCATAATATTTTGAAGTACGAAGCATGTGAAAGATGTATGTACAGTAAATGGTATTAATACCAGATAAAGAATGAAAGGTAAACTGAGCAAATACCTTTTTAACTTCAGCATGTGAAAATAGATCTAGTAACTGGTAAATATTTATTGTTGTTGTCCTTGTTTAGAGCGGGGTGAATTTATAAATTTTGTTTCAATTTATAGCGTTTAAATGAATGAATTTAATAAAGATAATATTTGAATCTGATATGGATGAAAAATAGTTATTTTTAAATTGTGGAAATTACACAAGAGCAGACTTTTAAAAATTGTATTTCAAAAATCAGGTCAAAAGTTTACTTATTCATAAATCAGATGATAATTCAACTAATAATAATAATAATAATAATAATAATAATAATAATATATATATATATATATATATATATATATATGGTGGTCTCCTTTAGTGACTTTTCTCTAGCGCCAAGTCGACGGTTAATCATCGTCAAAGAAATCTATAGAACATTGCCGTTGTTAAAGTCATCTCTCGTCTCTAGCCATCTGGTGGTCAATCATTGCCACTGCAATTGTCGCCTCAAATGATGCTACTACAATTCACTGCTTCAGATTGTGGTGTTGGTGTTCGCTTGATGCTACCTGCATGAGAATTACGTTTAGATGTTGTTATTAGTGGTGTTGGTGTTGTGGTGGTGGTAGTGGTGTTGGTGGTAGTAGTGTTGATGTTGTAATGATGGTGTTGTGGCAGCGATAACGGTGATGATGTCGTTGGCAATGGCAATGATTTTGTTAGATTTTGTGATTTTTTTTATTCATATAGGCCACGGTAATGGTGGTGCCCGACGACAAATTTGAGGGTTTTTTGGGTAGCAGCTATGGGTGTGGAGTGGTGGTGACGACGACGACAACGGCGATAGCGATGTAAATGTATCATTGGTTGTGGGGTGATGTGGTGTTTGGAGGGTGGGGAATGTGGTGTGTTTTTTACCAATTATTTGGTTGATTGTTGATTGTGATCAATAAATTGATTAATTTGTAATCAATAAATAATATGTAACCTAAAAAATGTGATCATGACACAACTTTACCTCGTATTGTAGGGTGGATCTCGAAAGATCTCCCTCCAAGTCATACATATGACTTTCATCGAATACTACTTTCCGCCAAATTCTACTAAGTTGTGAATGAGAAATTACTTGTTACTGATTCATTTGATAATTTCACACTGTTAAATAAATTGTAATTTATAAAATTTGTGATTTTATAATTGATGAATACATTATGGGCGATAATATTTTTCATTTGTGACATAAATTTTTTGATCTGTGAAAGAGGTATTAATTTGTGGCATATAAAATTTTTGATCTGTGATCCAAAAATAATTTGTAACCAATTAATTCGATAATTTATGACCAAATTGTATAGGTTTGTGACATTAATATATTTAATTAATAAAATATTTCTTTAATCAATAATTTTATAAATAGAATTTAATAATATCCGACTTTTGAAATTTTAAACATTATTTCTTAATTTTGAAATGGATAATAGTTAAACTCTTATATATGAATTTTTACATTGACAAAGGCTCAGAATGAGATGAGTTAGCATCTTAATGTTGAAGATTTGATCCTGAGATCAAACGGGAAATACTTTTTGGCCCTACCTGGGATGAAAAGGTCTTCCTATCGACTTCATCTGTAACGACTATTCTATTTTTCTTGAAAATTCTTTCGTCTATCGAAAGGGTCTCTATCCTAGTCATGTTCCATTAAACCCGTTTCAACAAAGTAATCTCACAAAGAAGCCAAAGGGAAAAGAAGAACTTTTAATATTTTCATCGAGATAGATATAGAGTTGGATGAATATATAAAAATCGTGAATATAAATAGAGACACTCTTTAAATATATTCCATTTTTAAGAGGATAAATTATAAAAATTTCAAAATTAATATATGAAAAGCAAGCTACACTAAGATGATTCTTACAATTTATATCACTACAACATTTGTCTTGCTTCCAGCGGCAGGGTGGAGGTTCGAATTTTGGTGGGAACCTGCAGCCAGATTTATTTGGTATGGGACAATCACTTTAAAGGAGAATTTCTTGTGCGCAGAAGTGTACAGGCGGTGCGGGGAACCTGTGATCCAGTTGAGGTATAACCTGCGATTTACTCCCTCCAAAGTTCTGGGGGCAAGGATTTTGGAGGTCCAAGATTTAGTCTAGTGTAAGTTGGGATACTTGAATATCCAAAAAAAAAAAAAAAAAAGGTTTAAATTTAAGGCCCTACTTGGGATGAAAAGGTCTTCCTATCGACTTCATCTGTAACGACTATTCTATTTTTCTTGAAAATTCTTTCGTCTATCGAAAGGGTCTCTATCCTAGTCATGTTCCATTAAACATGTTTCAACTAAGTAATCTCACAAAGAAGCCAAAGGGAAAAGAAGAACTTTTAATATTTTCATCGAGATAGATATAGAGTTGGATGAATATATAAAAATCGTGAATATAAATAGAGACACTCTTTAAATATATTCCATTTTTAAGAGGATAAATTATAAAAATTTCAAAATTAATATATGAAAAGCAAGCTACACTAAGATGATTCTTACAATTTATATCACTACAACATTTGTCTTGCTTCCAGCGGCAGGGTGGAGGTTCGAATTTTGGTGGGAACCTGCAGCCAGATTTATTTGGTATGGGGCAATCACTTTGAAGGAGAATTTCTTGTGCGCAGAAGTGTACAGGCGGTGCGGGGAACCTGTGATCCAGTTGAGGTATAACCTGCGATTTACTCCCTCCAAAGTTCTATGGGCAAGGATTTTGGAGGTCCAAGATTTAGTTTAGTGTAAGTTGGGATACTTGAATATCCAAAAAAAAAAAAAAAAAAGGTTTAAATTTAAGGACAAAGGTTATCACTTTCTTCTCCTTCCCTCCACTTTGTTACTTAAGAGTCCAGTCACACGGTTCAAACCGCTACTTTTTTTCATTTTTTATTTTATTTTTTTTCCACTCTCTCTCTCTGAAAAAAGCTACCCTTGTAACCAACCATTCACTCTTCCTCGAGATCTTTTTTGCCTATTGAAATCTGCTTTTTTTTATTTTTTTCCCGTTCATTTTAACTCATAATTTGCTTTAATTTCAATCCAATTAAAAGCAACAAACCCAAGAAATATTTGTAAACCCAGCTCCAAAACTTCAAGAAACTGCACACTTTACTCATTTTATTCAACTTGTAAGTGAAAATGTCTGTTTCAAACCCACCAGTATTAGACCCTCTGCAACCACCACCAATGGCGGTGATGGCCCAACAGGCGGCCTACACAGCTCATTCGGGTCATGGGTCTGTTGGACCCGTTATTGGTATACTTGCAGTGATAACAATACTGTGTGCTTTATCTGTGATGATCGGGCGGCTTTGTTCGGGTCGTAGAGTAATGGGTTATCAAGGGTACGATCTTGAAAGGTGGGTTGAGACAAAATGCTCCTCTTGTATTGATGGAAGCTTTAATACTCACCCATCGCCGCGCATGGAGGCGGAGCACCGTGTCAGCAGCTCCTCCGATGCAGTGCCGGCACTAGAGACACCTTCGGAAGCTACGGAAGAACAAGTAGAGGTGGCGGAACAACATACGAATTCGCAAGATGAACATCCTCCACATGAAAGAGCTGAGTCTTGAAGTGAGTTCGGTTATTTTTTTCATAATACTATGCACTTAATTTTTGAAATGAGATTACTTTCTCTTATTCTTGGGAGTAATTTGAATTCATTTTTTAAATTTCATTCTATTTACTTTGTTGCACGAATATCACGATCAATCTATCATTGCTCAGTTCTAAAGTTTTAAATTTACAAATGGAAACGAACAAAGTAGCGAAGGATCAACTCTAGTCTCTAAATTCAAGATATGATTTATTCATGGCCAGTCTATTTAAATTCAAAAATTATTTTTTAGATTAAGAACTTTCTCTTAAATACACTTGAGTAATTTTTTGAAGCGTTTTGTCTGATTAAAAAAAAAAAAAATTAAACTAAATTGAATCAAGATAATTTTCTCAAAAAGTTCTACTCAAATAAAAGAAGTCCTTCGAATGTGATATCAATCTTGGAAAATTCCATTATTTCATCTGCAAATAAATTATGGAAAAAAAACAATGAAAAAAGAATAATTTTCTTTTGGACCTTTTAATCAAAAGTGCACAAGATAAGCTCTTAGTGTCAAAATTCCCCCAATAATTTCTCTCTTTTAGAAAATGAGTGCGCCGGTGAAAGCTCACTTTGATTTATATTTGTCTCACTTTTTCTCTCATCCCAATTCTTTATTAACTATTAATCATTATTCTCTTCTTTTCAAATAAATAAGGAAAATAAATATTTTCCAATAAAATAAAGTCAGAAAAGTTGACGAATATATATCATATCATACAGGACAATCATATCTCGTGGTCTGGGAAGGATTCTACATTCAGATCCCTCTCATTGGTTTGATCACGTGAATGGGCAGCTTTTTGTCAACAAATTGCGGCAGCTGCAGGCTGAGCCACCCTCAAAACCACCCAACCACCGCCGCCCCAGTACCGGAATCTACTTCCATCCCAATTCATTATTTCTGAGGACCCTTGGGACAGTACAGACTTCAGATACAGTACACATTAGAAATTTGACTGCAATTTGTATCTATTCCTCATTCCATTGTCGTAACACTCTATTATCACTTTTTTTTTTCCGTGACCAGTTTGTTGAAATAAGGGATGAAATGAACGTGTCGAGTTTCCATTCTAAAAGGTTGTTTGTATGCCATCGTAATTATGAATTAGCGCCTCAAAAGTAATATATTTATGCAAGAAAACCAAGAAATACAAAACGACATTACATATTACATAACAAGTGAAAAATGAAGAAAATAGTACTAGGTAAAGATAAGGTAAAATGTTTTGCCCATGCCAACGCAGAATCTTATGAAGAATATTTTGATAACATTTCACCCTTTCAACTTATAATTTGTTTCCAAGCTCTTATACAAGACATCGGAGAAATGTCATCACGCATCAGGCTCGAAGGGTTCTCCATCTGCTCAACTCCTTATCTATTGTGTGTGTATTATAAGTTGTAATTATCAAGTCCTAGATCCCTGAGAGCATCAGTAGCAGCATTTTTGCAGCTCTTGTGACTTCCCTTGGCCTTTCTGAGGAGCGCCTCAATGCCATTCCCGAGCAAAAGAGTTCTATAACATAAGTGATTTAACATATGTTATGATCTCAGAAATAAACTCAATAGTATAATAGTAGAAAGGAAAAGTTCATGGAAAGCGAATTTAAAGGATAACCTGTTCTCTGGATTCCTGACCACAAGGTTCCTAATCATGAAACAAGAGTTCCTTTGCAGCTGGTCTGAATCTGGGAACCTCTGCATGGCTTGAATAGCAAGGTCTCCGGCCCCAGATTCCATAGCACAGGCTGCATTTTCAGGGGACCTTAAACACAGTATGGATATAGTGGACATGACCTGTCTCGAGACAAATGCAACATGATGAGTTAAATGTACACATCGATTCACCAAGTAGTGCAGAAATTGCTAATCAAATGCTATATTTGGCATGGAACATGCATTACACAGTGATGCAAAACCTGGCCTGTTGGCACAGCCTGCTTTACAACTTCTAATTGCACATTTACAATCATATCGTGATAATTTTTTAATTGATGTCCACAGCATTAACCCCCACAATTTAACTCCGATTCCTACTTATTTTGTCAGCAACGATAAGATGCAATTTAAAAAAAAATGTTAGTAGTTAAGTCAGCAAAATAGTTCTGGCCTATCTGCATATGGCTATCAATATGAATCCCATGGGGAGGGCTTATCTTGTGTTGTTCCTTGATAAGATGCAATTTAAAAAAAATGTTAGTAGTTAAGTCAGCAAAATAGTTCTGGCCTATCTGCATATGGCTATCAATATGAATCCCATGGGGAGGGCTTATCTTGTGTTGTTCCTTGGGTTAACACATGAACACACAGAATAAACAGCTATGGATGTTCCTATTTCTTCATCAGTGTCAAGAAATTCAAATTAAGTATGACTCAATTTAAGAAACAACTAATGATTTCTTTACCTCTTGTAACACAGAAGGATCATCGGAGAATCTTGATGATAGTTTGATAAGCCTATCCATGCCTTGCTTTTCAACAATAGCACTCTTGTTCACATCACTTCCGGCCAACTGATAAAGTGCATCGTATTAGAAATGCTTGAAGATTTCCTGAGCACAAAGCTTTGCAGGATACAATAATGTAAATAATGCAATCAAAAGCTAATGATAAAATGGTGAAAAACAAATAACTACTATAATTTCATAAACTAGTCATATCTGGTGTCTCAGGATTGGATTATTTTATTAATCAACGCAATGACATCTAACAAAATGTCAATAACGAAAAATGGTTAAAATCAAATACCTATTAAAGTTTTATAAACTCGTATTGTATAGTTGTCTCGAGATCAGATTATTTTATTAAAAACGAACAACAGCAAAGAGCCAAAGAGAACACCTGGCAATTGAACGCATTTATCTAAGAGAGACCTTAGAAAAGAAGATAATCATATGATGTACATTTAATTGGCCTCCACCAAAAAAGAGCAAGAAAGAATATTTTGTTTTAAGCTTTGCACCTTAGACAACAACGAGCAGCAGGCTCTAGCCACAGTATTGTTGCACTGCTCACCACTATTGTCAATACAATGGAGAATAGCGTCTATACCCCCATGATTAGCAACTGATCTGCAAATCTCATCCTGCAGACAGAGAACTCAGAATTAAAGCTGGAAGATTCTAAAAGCTACATACATAATATGCTTCTACAGCCTAGTTTAAAAGAGATCAGTTTCTCATTACAAAAACCAAAGCAATGTAGAGTTTCAGCTTTAATTTTTAAGATTTTCCCTTTTAACTTTCAAAAACAATATCAAAACAGAAGTCTCAGATTATTTCTCTCTAATTTGAGTAGTAAATAGTGAAGTTACGCTACTGTAATTAAAAAAAAGGCCTGTTTCAGAGCCAATAATACAATCTCACCTTTGCTTGAATTATTCAGGCCAACACCCCACTCCTTCGAAACTACTCTTATTCCAGCCCACTAAGGTAGATTAGGCAAATTATCTTCACCATGAGCTACACTGACATGTCTTAAGTTCAGATATTCGAGTGATCTATGATTTCAAACTTTCCATATTATAGTTTAATAGAGCAAGAAGGTCAGAACATATCCACAAACAATTAAAAGTAATTTTTAGTTAAAAAGACACTTGGGTCCTTTTCACGGTATGAAATATGAAAATTTTAACATTGAATGGTTGCATGTAGATAGACTTACATTGACAGCAACAGCCTTCAACGCAATGCTGGCTGATACTAGACTGGACGAACTGATCCCTTCTTGGAGTGAGTCCACGAGAACTTCTGCAATTCCTAATTTTGCAAATTTTCGAGCATAACCAAAAACCTGAATGGATAAATTAATTTTATATCAAAAATATCTTGCAGTGTTAGGCAGTTTAACAAAATAATATTCTAAAAATTCAATTAGTAGAAATCGAAATATGCCTTGGCCTTTCTGAGGAGCGCCTCAATGCCATTCCCGAGCAAAAGAGTTCTATAACATAAGTGATTTAACATATGTTATGATCTCAGAAATAAACTCAATAGTATAATAGTAGAAAGGAAAAGTTCATGGAAAGCGAATTTAAAGGATAACCTGTTCTCTGGATTCCTGACCACAAGGTTCCTAATCATGAAACAAGAGTTCCTTTGCAGCTGGTCTGAATCTGGGAACCTCTGCATGGCTTGAATAGCAAGGTCTCCGGCCCCAGATTCAATAGCACAGGCTGCATTTTCAGGGGACCTTAAACACAGTATGGATATAGTGGACATGACCTGTCTCGAGACAAATGCAACATGATGAGTTAAATGTACACATCGATTCACCAAGTAGTGCAGAAATTGCTAATCAAATGCTATATTTGGCATGGAACATGCATTACACAGTGATGCAAAACCTGGCCTGTTGGCACAGCCTGCTTTACAACTTCTAATTGCACATTTACAATCATATCGTGATAATTTTTTAATTGATGTCCACAGCATTAACCCCCACAATTTAACTCCGATTCCTACTTATTTTGTCAGCAACGATAAGATGCAATTTAAAAAAAAATGTTAGTAGTTAAGTCAGCAAAATAGTTCTGGCCTATCTGCATATGGCTATCAATGTGAATCCCATGGGGAGGGCTTATCTTGTGTTGTTCCTTGGGTTAACACATGAACACACAGAATAAACAGCTATGGATGTTCCTATTTCTTCATCAGTGTCAAGAAATTCAAATTAAGTATGACTCAATTTAAGAAACAACTAATGATTTCTTTACCTCTTGTAACACAGAAGGATCATCGGAGAATCTTGATGATAGTTTGATAAGCCTATCCATGCCTTGCTTTTCAACAATAGCACTCTTGTTCACATCACTTCCGGCCAACTGATAAAGTGCATCGTATTAGAAATGCTTGAAGATTTCCTGAGCACAAAGCTTTGCAGGATACAATAATGTAAATAATGCAATCAAAAGCTAATGATAAAATGGTGAAAAACAAATAACTACTATAATTTCATAAACTAGTCATATCTGGTGTCTCAGGATTGGATTATTTTATTAATCAACGCAATGACATCTAACAAAATGTCAATAACGAAAAATGGTTAAAATCAAATACCTATTAAAGTTTTATAAACTCGTATTGTATAGTTGTCTCGAGATCAGATTATTTTATTAAAAACGAACAACAGCAAAGAGCCAAAGAGAACACCTGGCAATTGAACGCATTTATCTAAGAGAGACCTTAGAAAAGAAGATAATCATATGATGTACATTTAATTGGCCTCCACCAAAAAAGAGCAAGAAAGAATATTTTGTTTTAAGCTTTGCACCTTAGACAACAACGAGCAGCAGGCTCTAGCCACAGTATTGTTGCACTGCTCACCACTATTGTCAATACAATGGAGAATAGCGTCTATACCCCCATGATTAGCAACTGATCTGCAAATCTCATCCTGCAGACAGAGAACTCAGAATTAAAGCTGGAAGATTCTAAAAGCTACATACATAATATGCTTCTACAGCCTAGTTTAAAAGAGATCAGTTTCTCATTACAAAAACCAAAGCAATGTAGAGTTTCAGCTTTAATTTTTAAGATTTTCCCTTTTAACTTTCAAAAACAATATCAAAACAGAAGTCTCAGATTATTTCTCTCTAATTTGAGTAGTAAATAGTGAAGTTACACTACTGTAATTAAAAAAAAGGCCTGTTTCAGAGCCAATAATACAATCTCACCTTTGCTTGAATTATTCAGGCCAACACCCCACTCCTTCGAAACTACTCTTATTCCAGCCCACTAAGGTAGATTAGGCAAATTATCTTCACCATGAGCTACACTGACATGTCTTAAGTTCAGATATTCGAGTGATCTATGATTTCAAACTTTCCATATTATAGTTTAATAGAGCAAGAAGGTCAGAACATATCCACAAACAATTAAAAGTAATTTTTAGTTAAAAAGACACTTGGGTCCTTTTCACGGTATGAAATATGAAAATTTTAACATTGAATGGTTGCATGTAGATAGACTTACATTGACAGCAACAGCCTTCAACGCAATGCTGGCTGATACTAGACTGGACGAACTGATCCCTTCTTGGAGTGAGTCCACGAGAACTTCTGCAATTCCTAATTTTGCAAATTTTCGAGCATAACCAAAAACCTGAATGGATAAATTAATTTTATATCAAAAATATCTTGCAGTGTTAGGCAGTTTAACAAAATAATATTCTAAAAATTCAATTAGTAGAAATCGAAATATGCTTCCACTAATATTAGCCAAATAGGCGTCTTCTTTAGAGGCATCAAAAATTCCCTCTTCCCCTTCCACTTTCCAGGATAAATAGTAGTGATCGAAACCGAATCGAGGACTTAAAAACATCTTTACAACACATTAGGATTAATGTCAAATTGGTGCCACCAAAGTCCATAAAGAACATGCATTCTTTTGACTTACCTGAGAGGCCACTACACGATTGTCATCGGATGTTAAGAGGATACATATTGCGTTGTATACACTTGGAATGCTTCCCCCATTGTGTTCTTTCAAAGTTTGTACTATTAGCTCATCGATTTTCAATTCCATGAACGATTCTTTGATAACCTCGTTACCAGTTGAAGCCGCAGCTACAACTGAAAAACCACTATCTAAGATGCTCACATCTTGTCTTCCATCACATAAGATATCTACCACAATCTTTGGGCCACCACTCTCCCTAAATATTTCAGTACTTTGAAGATCTGCACGTTAAAACAATCATAACTAACTGCCAATTACTAAACATGCATTCAGCAGCATATTAAACCAAAAATATGGGAAGGTTGTCAATTGTAGGTATTATAATATAGCACATTAGAGGTGGAAAAACAATAAATCAAGAATTATAACTTATTATTATCTCTAATCTACATCCATCAAATTCCAGTTTTTGAATTATATCCCTTAGAAGTTATCTAAGGAGCAATAACTGCTCAAAATTGTATTTAACTTAAAGATCATTACGGTTTTTGAAAGTTCAGAATTGAATTCACTTCATGCTAGTTATTGACTTATGTCACTTACAATTATCAACAGGAATAAACTCAAGGAGCTGTAAAACTCTACACACATACATGCGAACGATTTCAAACTGAATTGATGAAATATGTAACTAGTGCCCATTTTTCAACGCATATTGTTAAGGACAAGGCAGAAGAAAATGCTGAAAACTCTCAATTGAATAGTTAGTACTTAGCAGTGGCCAAGCTCCATCGAGTTCTAGATTAGGCTGTCGTTTGTGATTTGTATCGTTTTCATCAAAATGTATACATGTATACAGCGCATTCAAATGAAGATGACGAGAAAGTTAATATTCATATCTCAATCAACAATCTTGCTACGTAATTATACATAAATATTGAGTAATATACCATGAAGCAAAGAAGCAACAGTCTTCAAACTGGTGACTAAACCAAGAGCAAACCCAGCTCGAATCTTCGTACAAACTGAAATCACTAATTCTATCCCACCATTTTTGGATGCAATCGCGGCATTCCCCGATCCTTTATCCTTACACATATCATTCAATTCTACCAACAACTCTACAATTTCATTCACTGCATTCTCGACTTTAGCCAGATTTCGATCTGACCATTTCTCATTCAGCTGCTTCAATTTGTCCAAACATTCCATCACGGGATTGCTCTCTCCCGGAGCACACGTGATAATTCCTACAAAATGGGGAAAGAAGGAATAAGTGTAATTAGTGTCGAAAATGTAGGATAGCATTAGAAATTCGAAATACACGGATGGAAAGATACTAACCGGAGAGATCGACGCCTTGAAGGGTGAGGGTTTGGATGGCGTCTTGTAGGGCTTCGTTGGAGTCCATTCCCAGGTCCTCCATGTTTTCCTTCACCATTTCGTCAAAGGCTTGTTGTGAAATTGTTCGACCGGATTTCGGTGGTCCCATTTATCTCTCTCGCCGCCGGCGATCTGTACTGCAAAATTCCGATAAGTGTGTGTGAGCGAAGGAGAACAGTACAGAGTGCGGGAGATATTTAGGATTAAAAATTTCGAAAATGGACGAGTGATTTCAAAATGGGCTGCTCGCTGGCCCATATTCTGGCGAGAGCCCAGTCCAGTCCACTCAACAACATTGCTTTAGAGGTAGGGGGCGGAGATCCGGAAATCAAGGCAGGTTGTTGGCTTTGTGATTAGCAAGTGATTGTTTACGAGACAGAATTCGGGGGGGCGCAAATTAGATTGACATTGATTGATGGGTTGATGCGGGCTGTATACGACAATATTATGAACTTGTTGTCCAGCAGATTTTAGTACTCGAATTCAATGAAAATGAGGCCATATGGAAGACACATGACGACAGTTACGGGCAGTTATTGTTATAGGCTTGATCCAAGGACAGTTTAACGCGATTTTAGCTGCAAGAGAGCAGGATTTCTAGACAAACTAACCCAGTGGTTGGGGGTGTCAATTGCAATTTGAATTCATCTATTTATTCTAATTGTTGACGCATTTATAGATAGAATAGTGAATGTAGTGATGAGAAAACAATGGTTGTGTTGATCTTTCACGATTTTTTGTACTTAGTGTGTTTCTTTGTTTTATGGAAATAAAGTCGAGACAATTTTCGTAAATCTTGCATTCTGTTTTATTTTCTTCAATCTTCTACGTGCTTAGTCTATTTTTTGTTTGTTTTTGATACCCGAAAGGGTAAATTTCAGGTCGGCAGGTTAAGGAAGGGTAATCTCGACGCCTTCGCAACTTGTAAGAAAATGCCCTGTGACAATTTGTATGATCCAAGCAGGGAAGAATAATGTTTTCACATACGTTGCTGGGGGAAATAATATGGCTGCATGTCAAAATTCGAAGGATCAAGTCAAAATGCTTGAGAATTTCATTGGTGCTCTGATGATCGATGATGTTGTAAATTGGCTGTACAGGTCGAAATGAAATAGGCGTTTGAAATTTTTTTTTTTACTAAGATGAGCGAAAATTTTACATCAATTTTGTGGGGATGTGATTGCATGGATTGAGAACGTCACTGTGCACATGTGTTTGTTAGAAAGCGAAGTTTTCGTTGCTTAGCATACAACTTTTGTTCATAGAGAGACAATAGCAACCTCAAAAATCAAAATGTTGGAGCCAAAACCATTCGATAGTGCCCTATATGCCAAAGAGTTGGAGAATTTTCTTTGGAACAGGGTACGGTATTTCAAGGCTGCACATGTTTTTGTAGATGATCGGATTTAACATTGCAAGCATATATTTATCGAGTGACTTGAAATTATGGTGGAGGACTTGTTTGCAAGAAGATGAAATTGCAGGCAGGCCAAGAATCGTGGCTTGTGTTGGTCTCAGAGTTATACTAATCTTGTATTTTGAACGGTTTTTACAAAAACTAAAAATGGCAAAAATAAAAAATAGTAGAAAAACGAAAGAACACCAGATATGTTTTTGCTTTAAAGGAGCTCGGATGTTTAGTCCAAGGACTTAATCACCTGGTGAGCCTCAATTAAAAGATATGCTCGAGATTCCACAAATTTCCACGAGGAAAATCGTACAAGAATGTGCGAAGAAATCAGAAATTTCTTCGTCTTTGTTCTAGCCTCTTCCTCACAAAGTTTTCACAGAGATCTCACAAAGATCACTCACTATAATCCTTACACAAAGGAGATGAAATCAAACAGATTCAAAGTTATATTTTCAGAGAGAGGAAGAACACGAAAAGAACTCTCACATAGAGAGAGAAAAGAAAATTCTAGAGACTGACTGTTCCAGACGTGAAGACCAGGAGCCAAGTAAAGTATCAATCCAGTTGAAGCATTTCCATCCAAAGGTTGGGGCCACATGTACGGAACACACCCATCCACAAGAGGCACCAAAAACGTTATTTCAAAAACACGAGAATATTAGAAGTTTGGGCCTCCATTAATTTTCAAGTAATAAGGCCCAATAAAGAAATAGTGAGGTAGCCCATACTTTAACAACTTGAAAAAACCTGCAAAAAAATAAATAAATAAATAAATAATAAAAAAATTTAGGGGTCAGTCGTTCCATCCAACATGGCATGGATTGCATGGAGGCCTTAAAGAACTTGAAATAGATGAATACAGTGTAGAAATATGCTATGGCATTATGTTCTTTAATATTGGACATCAAGAACATGTTCAAGAAGGACAAACCGTTCAACTTCGTGTCTAGACTGCAACATGGATGCAAGAAGATTTGCATTGCCAGGTATGAACGACCTTCAATCAACCATTGTTGTGGTCCTTGCGTTGATTCAATTGCTTATAATAATGGTGCTTCGATAAGGAAATCAAATGATGTCAAAAATGGAAATGGAAATCATTTAAAGGATGGGATGAAGGCAAAAAAGGGAGGAACAAGCTACAAAATTTAAAAAAAAAAAAAAAAAGGCGAAAATTTTCAAAAATAGGGATGCTTCATTTGTGATAGGCCTCATCGAGCAAGAGATTGTGCAAAATGGGAAAAACTGGCTGTAATTATATTGGAAGAACAATGGGATGAAAACACCAAAGGAATTGTTCGGATGAACCCTATGCAACTCATTATAGAATGATGCTTGTAAATATGGTAAGAAAGACACCTGATTGCAACAGCAAACTACAAGGTTGGTTGGGACGCGATGTTCAAGAATTTGTGTTGAGGACTTGCTGTTGAGTGAAGGAGAAAGTGCAAGCATATTTGGTGAAAAGACATGGAATGCTCATTAAAAATTCTAGAAAATGCATCGGAGCGGGTTGGACAGATCACCCAATGTTTGGGCATCAAATGGAGAAGTCATCGGAAGCATTGGGAATTCCCTTGACATGTGAAAAATGTGGGAGGCATTTTTGTGTTTAAAATTTCTCGACGAGCATGTCGCGTTCTTCTGGTAGGGAACGTATGTGAGCATCCTTTACTAGAAAATGGATATGGCACAGATGCTACCTTGTCATTACCATGCCATGGCCAAATACATGCGCAATATCAGTGTTTAGTGTGGATTTAAGAATCAAGGGAGCATGTTGGCTTTGTGAAGAGCAAGTGATCGAGACACGAATGCCTAATTTACTTGATGGCGATATCATGAGGCTGATTTGGGGATGCAAGTCAGTTTGGCATTAATCAATGGGTTGATGCGGTCTGTGTCCAACAGCATTGATAACTTGCTGTGTAGTTGATTTCAGTACTCGTATTCAGTGGAAATCAAACCATATGAAAGGCACATCATTACGGTTACGAATGGGTATTGTTGTAGGCTTGTTCTAGGGATAATTTTGGGCAATTTTTTGGCGGTAGGAGCAAGATATTTGGACAAACTGACCCAACCTATGGTTGGTTCCCTGCTCGTGATGAGCTGAGTCATGTCAGCTCGCGAACCTTTGGAAACGAGATAGACCAGTTAAAGCTGCACAATTTGTCATGTAATATTTTCTGGTTTATCTTTCGAGTAAATTTAACCAATGCTCACTGAACTTTAAACATGGTTACTACTTGCTCACTCATCTTTCACGGGATACTGAATACTCACTCATCTTTCCATATAGTTACTCATCCATCACTCATCTCTTCAAATAATTGGGCGACTTTTGCGGCAACATTTTGACAACTTTCGACCACCAAGAATGTCGAATTTTGATATCGTTTGAAAGCTCACGATTTCCTCTTCAATTACAACTCAAAATCTCTCTACAACTCCAAGGGATTCAATTGAAAAATTGCCTTAAAAGTCGCCCAAAATTTTTGAAAATCTGCCCAGATTTTCAGATTTTTTGGGTAATTTTTAAGGTAATATTTCAGCAACTTCCGACCATCAAAACTGTCAAATTTTGATACCGTTGAAAATCCCACAATGTCCTCTTCAATTACCACCCAAAATTTCTCCATAGCTCCAAAGGATTCGATCAGAATAAACCCACAAAATCAGCATCCCGAAAAGGTGAAAATCTGGACAGAGTTCGGATGCTGACTCTGTGAGTTTATTTCGACCGAATCCTTTGGAGTTATCGAGAAATTTTGGATGGTAATTGAAGAGGACATTGTAGGCTTTCCAATGCTATCAAAATTCGGTAGTTTTGATAGTTGAAAGTTACCGAAAAATTGCAGTCGTCCAAAAAATCTGAAAATCTAGGCAGATTTTCAGAATTTTTGGTCGAATTTTAAGGCAATTTTCCACTCAAATCCCTTGGAGTTACAGGGAGATTTTGGATGGTAATTGAAGAGGACATCGTGTGCTTTCCAACGGTATCAAAATTCGACATTCTTGGTAGTCGAAAGTTGTCGAAATGTTGTCGCAAAAGTCGCCCAATGATGAGTGATTTACACTCATTATTTATGCCATTAATTTCATGATTTTGCTATCTTGGAGAGTATTTTAGAAGTGCTAACAAGTGGTTTTGGTGTTGTTTTGTAGATTGATGGAAATTGAGAAAACTAGAGCTAAAAGAGGTCAAATGAAGGAAATAGGCAAAAGCTAGCGAAGTTGGATGAAATGACCAAAACGTAAGAGATCCAAAGTTCGAGGATTAAAATGCAATTAATCAAAAGTCATGTCGAAACTTGAAATGAAGATCCGAGAGTTCTAGAAGCCAATTGGGCAAAGGAAGGTGTCAAAGGGATCAAATTTAGTCAAGATATGATCATAAATCATTTTCCAACCAAAAAGTTTTGCGCCGAAGTTTTCGTCTCACATTTAGACTCATTTTTGACATAGAAAACGACGAATTGGAGAATGATTCCTGAAGAAAAATTGTAGTCCTTTGAATCAGCTTTCCAACGCATCTTGAATCACTTCAATCGGATATCGAACGAAAAAGTTATGATAAAAATACTGAAAGCTGTCCAGTGCAACCGAAGTAGTCCTCAGCGCCCAGGCGCTATCCCTCAGCGCCTAGGCGCCATGATGCTGAAATTTTGACAGAAAGTCAGCGCCTAGGCGCCCAAATCGCAGCGCCTAGGCACCGCCGTACGAGAGTAATTTTTTTTGGTTTTTACCATTCTTTTTCGGCCCAACTCATCTCCAAATCTTTCCCTAAACTCCAAGACAATATAAACACAAGATTGAAGACCTAAATGAAGGAGGAGCCGCACACTAAAAATCTAGGGGATCAAGCCACGCGTTCTTGACAGATTGGAGAGAAAAACAACAAGAAGGGAGATTCAAGGGAGAAATTTAAGAAGATTAACACCAAGAATTGAAGATTGGAAGCACTCATTGGAAGAGGAAGGAGATCTTAGTGCAAGAATTCCACTTTTTCTTCCACATCTTTATTTCAAACTTGGTGATGTATTCTAAGAGAATCTCTTATTTTTCTTCCATTATTATGAGTAGTTAGATTTCATGTTAGGGCGAACAATTTCACATATTGGTCTCCTTTACTTTATAAATCAAGATTCATAAAACCTAAGGTAGTGTTCGGTCGAATTCTTCTATTGTATTCAACTTACCCCTCTCGAG